CTTGGCTTACTTCACTTAATATAATTTTTCCAAGTCTTTCCATTTCCTAACAAATGGGGCAATGTCATTCTTTCTCTGATGGAAGCATAGAATTCCATTGTGGATATTAACCACATTTTCTTGATGCATTATCTACTGAGGGGCATTTGGGTTGCTTCTATATCTTAGCTATGGTAAATAATGCTGCAATAAACATAGCTGTGCTGCTAGCTTTAGTATGGTCTTGTTTGTGATCATTCAAGTAAATGCCCAAAAGCCGGATTTGCTGGGTCATAGGGGAGCTCTATGTGGAGTCTTTTGAGGAAACTCCACACTACTTGCCAAAGTGGTTGAACAACTTTCCGCTGCCACCACCAATGCAGTAGGGTTCTCTTTGGTCCACATCTTTAATGTTGAAAATTAAAGAGTGGTAGAGCTCTTGTCAAGCATGGGTTTAAAATTCAGAATAGTAAGAAAGAAAAAGCAAACCGAACAACGGCAAAAAGAACACAATAACCAAGTGAAGGAATAGATTGTCTAAAGACAGAAAATATTTTGATATACATTTAATAAGCTAATTGATATTAAGTGATTAGGAAAATGATTATTTCTGTACTAAATTAAATGTGCTTACTAAATATTTATGGCACTGAATTTTCTTTCTAATATATTCTCTAGTTTATATTACAGACAAAATCATAATTTCCTTTCTAAAACATTCTCTATTTAAATTACAGACAAAATCAAAATTTCCTTTCTAATACATTCTCTAGGTTAAATTACAGACAAAATCATAGCCAACCCACAAATAGCCAACCTGGTTGCAGAAATATTGATCCCCAGAGCAGGGATGCTGGAATCTTGAGGAGCAGTGAACCTAATTGATAGTTTAACTTCTGAGATGACATGAGATTCATTGTTGCCTTTGATTGCAATGAAGATCTTGGCGCCATTCTCTAAAACGTTCTGCTTTAAATCCAAATGTTTCTTTAGAGCCAGCCTCCTTAGATGTCTGATCAGCAGCATGGTCAAAATCATGTTGGAGCTCCTGGGAAGACTTACTTCTAATTATGGTGCAGTTGGCAGCTGGAACACAGACAGACAGGATGGCTCACTGCAGGCACGTTGCCTGGTGGGCACCGATCAGATGCTCACTATAGTTTAGAGAATGCCACATACAGCATTTGTCAGGTTATACCATTGTCCTTAGCTTAACAAGTACACCAGGTTTTTAAAATGTATTATATGATCACAGAAAATTTTCATTCACTGTCATGAAGCACTGAGCCTCCCTCTCTGCCAGAATTTAGTTTATGCAGAGAGATATACAGAGCTGAATGAGCTTTTTGATTTGGAACAGGGAGCACAGCAATGCTCAAGTGTGCTTTCTTATGAAGCTGAAAGAAAGTAATATGAGAGGGGAAGAAGTGAGATGATCAAGGAACAGAGGAGTGGGAGGAGACCCAAAAGCTGGAGTTTGTACTAAGCTCAGGACCTAGGGCAGACCTTGACTGGTGATCTCCATTACTGTTTTCTAAGTAATAGAATGTTTTATCTCAAATTTCTCATCTGAAGCTTATCAAACCTGGAAAATATAGATTTAGTCATTAAGCTCTATCAAATATTTATTGAGTATCTACTACTCCACAATAGTACATGAAGTGGTTACCACAATTAAATACATTAAGAATGAATATTTGAAATGTTAGCCACTACTATGAATAGTTAAGAAAGGTAGAAGGATGCCAACATAAATGCTTCATCCCGACTGCTTTTAAAATTCTACCAGAGATATGGAAATATAAATATATTCTAGATGATAACAGTGGCTCATGGTTGTTTCCTAGCTACCCATGAGGCTAAGAGCCGAGCATGTAGGTTTGTAGCTCAGGCAAGAAAATCTATTAGACTTATCTCTAACTAACCAGCAGAAGCTAGAAGTTGAGCTGTGGCTCTAGGGATAGGGTACAAGCCTTGAACAAAGAAGCTCAAACACAGTGCTGAGTCTCTGGATTCAAGGCCTGGAGCTGGCATCCACATGAAAAAAACATCTTGTTGCTAGGTATGGTGGCTTCCATCTGTAATCCCAGCTACTGGGGAAGGGAAGATCAGAAGAATCTTTGCTCAAGACCAGCTGGGGCATAAAGACTCCCATCTTAACAAACATGGTAGAACATACCTGCAATCCATACTATGCAAAAGGTACAGGTAGCAGAATTGCAGTTTTCTGCCTGTCCAAGCAAGAAGTTTAAGACTTTCTAAAAATGAACCAAATCCAAAAGGGCAGACTCAAGTAGTAGAGTGCTTGTATCACATGCTTAAGAGAATCCTTATCCCTAATATAACAACAGAAATGAAAACTAAACAAAAAAGCTTTTCATGTTTAGAAATTGGATGTTAGGACATCGAATGCACTTTTTTGAGATGAAGACTTAATTTTTTATGTTTTGTGAAAGGATGACACTATTTTAAGAATGAGGTAAGTAACTTTTGGACTGTTTTTTAAATTTATTTTGATTTTTTTGCCGGTCTTGTGGCTTGAACTCTGGACCTGAGCTTCTTTTGCTGAAGGCCCTGCCACTTGAGCCACAGCAACACCTCCAGCTTTTATGAGTTTACTAGAGATAAGAATCTTAGGGAATTTCCTGACTACACTGGCTTCAGATCAGTCACTATCCTCAGATCTCCGACTCTTGAGTAACTAGGATTATAGCAGTCATCCATCAGCACCTGACCAGGCTAAGTTAAGATTAACATGTAGTTTCTCTATACAAAGCCTTGTTGGCATACTCTACCATTCTGCACATAACCTTCTGTTCCACTGAGGTAAGTCTTCTTCTCCCTTTCCCTCCTCCACCCTTTCCCCTCCCTTTCCTTCCTCCCATAGTTTAACCCAAATATTATGAAGGTTTTCTTCTTTATTGTAATGTTTGGCAGGCCTTGGGTTTGAGTTCTTGGTCTTGCACGTGCTAGGCAAGCACTCTACCACTTGAGACACACTGCCAGCCTGTGTTTGCTGTTAGTTTCATGTTTAGACAGGACCTCACTTTTGCCTTGCACCAGTCTTGGAGCATCACCACAATCCTCCTGCCTTTGCTTCCTGAGCAGCTGAGGTTGCAGGCTCACCTCCCCCATGTGTAGCTCCTTTGGTGTGTTATGATGGGGAATTTTAACTTTTTCTTTGTGCTGTAGTCATCCTGCAGTCTTCCTACCTCTTCATTAGCTGGAAGTATAGGCAAGGCTCACTATGACAAGCTACTTTTCCTTTCTTGACCTTGATGATGTCATTGGATTTCAACTCCTTCAATGGCTTCTTTTTCTCTATCTCTATATGGAATTTTTGTTGTTGTTGTTCTTGGTTGTGGGGACTGAACTCTGCTCCTGGGCGCTGTCCCTGAGCTCCTCAGCTTAAGGCTAGCACTCTGCCACTTGAGCCACAGTGCCACATCCAGCTTTTTCTGTTTATGTAGTACTGAGGAATTGAACCCAGGGCTTCATGCATGCACTCTACACTGAACCACCTTCCCAGCCCTCTATATGGAAATCTTGTTCTTCAAGACACAGACAAGACTTCTTTCTCATGAAGTCTTGCTCAACTAATTTATCAGCCGCCCAGACAAGACTTCTTTCTCATGAAGTCTTGCTCAAGTAATTTATCAGCCTTGATATTTTCTTCCATGAACTTCTACTGCATGGAATGGTATTTTCCAAATTTTCTGGCTTAAATTTTCATTCTGATGAGATTCTATTGCTCTTGAGAACAGACTATTTTTTATACTGCTCTGCTCTAAAGGTATTTTATGATGTTTAAGGCTAATGCTTGCCAGCCACAATTATCCTTCCTGCCCTTCAGAAGAAAGTACAGGGTGATAATTCCCCAGTGCCTACTCGTAGCACATCACTCCTTTTACTTTCTGTAATAGCACAAAGGACATTTTATAAGAGACCAGTGTACTACTGAATGCTCCAATTTTACCAAAATAATTTAGAGCTAAATATTTGATTATATGATTTCCTTCTTGGTGTTTTTAGTGGCAATACTAATATTTGATTTGATTATGCTATCTACAGAAAAGTTATGAGAAAATGATGTATTTCCAAAGTGGTCATAGTGATTGTTTTCAACATTGTAGCAAAAGTATGGGTGGATGCTCTATTCTTTTCTTGGCTTACAAGTCTTTTTTATTTTTAAATAAATCAAACATTCCAAGAATAAAAATAAATCAAGGATGCCCAAACAAATATGGCTCTGTGTGTGTGTGTGTGTGTGAGAGAGAGAGAGAGAGAGAGAGAGAGAGAGAGTCATGGTGCTTGAACTCTCGGCATGAGCACTGTCCTTCAGCTCTTCATATCAAGGCTAGTGCTTTACCACTTGAGCTACAGTGCCACTCTGGTCTTCTGGTGGTTTATTGGAGATAAGAGTTTCACAGACTTTCTTCCCTGGGCTGGCTTTGAATTGAGATCCTCAGATCTTAGCCTCCTGAGTAGCTAGGATGACAGGCCTGAGCCACCAGTGCCTGGCTACAAATATGGCTTTGAAAATTCTATTTAGTAAGTGAGATGCCATTAGCATTCCATGTTTTAGTACTGTGAAATGACTTGTCTGGTCATGTGTCTTTTATGGTCATTGTCTTAAGAGGGATAGTTTCTAGGAATCTCATGTAGTTTTAAACTCAATGATTAATGAATACAGTTATACAAGTAGAGAATGCTTAGAAAAATGATTTTCCTTGCCAGGCACAGGAAGCAGTTATTCAGGCCTCCCCAATCAAGTTTAGGATGGTTGAAACTCAGAAAAGCAATTTGATACAAAAGGACATGGCAAGAATGGGTTAGAATTCTGGGTTATAGATACAACTTGGCCTAATTTCTATCTCTTAGTCCTTCAGGTTTCACATCTGAAATCAAATGAATAATGGCCCAGGTAGACACCCACAAAAACTATTTATAAATGAGATATTAGAAAATGAAAGCTAATGGACATTCTTTCAGAAAATGTAAAAGCTTAATGCCAAGCTTACCTTTGCCTTTATCAAGGGTACTGCCAGGGGCAGTCCATGAAAGGTGAACACCACCTCCTTGAACCTCAGCCTCCAAGCCTGTGATTTTACTGGGACCATACAACGGAGTATTATCACCAGTAGGAGGAGCTCCTGATACAGTGAATGACCTTCCTGAAGTTAGTCTGCTGACATCTTCCAGTTGAGCTTCTGCCAAGTCTTCTTTAACTTCAGGTCTGGGTGGGTTCAGTCCAATTGCACCTACCCAAAATAGTAATTTTGTAACTTTTCATATTGTCATGTGGATACTTCATCTTGTAGAGGGGTAAGTTAAAACTTAATGGCAGACACAGAAAAGTGACAATTTTTAGTGAAAACAACCCTCTTGTTTTAATACAACTTTGAAATGAATGAGGAGATATTATGGTATGATAAAACCATCTTTGATCTTTATTAACTGCTTGACTAGAAATTCTCTGAGGGCAAAGATCCTTTTGATCTCAGGGTCCCATTCTTACTGGCTAGACACTGTATCACTTAAGCTATGCTTCAGAGCTTCTGGGTTTCCTTATGCTCTTTTCTGGATATGGTATCAAGGTTTCTACCCAGGCAAGCCTGGGTCTGCCAGCTTCCTAATTAGGCTCCCACAGATGCCCATCATGCCCTTCGTTTTGTTGTGAGGGAGGTCTCAGGAAATTTTTGCCCCAGCTTGCCCGGAATTGCAATCCTGCCCATCTCTTCTTCCAGACTAGCTACTATAACTAGTGTGAGACCTGAGCCTGGTACAAGGATTATGTGTCATGCATTTTTGTAGCAAGCATCTGCTATAGTGCTGGCCTCATACCAGATGCTCAGTCCAAAATTTTTCATTGTAATTGAAATCAACCATGGTAGATGTTAACAAAACATGTGACATCTAAAAATTCAATGTGATACCTATCAAAATTCCAACCTCGTTCTTCAAGGAAATAGAAGAGGCAATCTAAAAATTCATATGGAAGACCCCGAATAGCAAAAACGCTCCTCAACGGAAAGGACACTGCTGGAGGAATATCAATACCAAATTTCAAACTCTACTATAAAGCCATAGTAATCAAAATAACTTGGTACTGGCATAAGAACAGACCTCAGGACCAATGGAATAGAACCAAAAACCCAGTAATGAACCTACAGACCTATAGCCATCTAATCTTCAATAAGGGAGCTAAAAAGATAGAATGGAAGAAAGACAGCCTCTTCAGTAAATGGTGCTGGCAAAATTGGTTAACTACCTTAGTAGAAAACTAAGGCTAGATCCTTATATATCACCCTGCTCCAGAATCAACTCCAAATGGATCAAAGACCTCGGAGTCAAAGCAGACACTCTGAAAACATTACAGGATGGAATAGGAGAAACCCTAGGTCTCCTTGGCGCAGGCCAAAATTTTCTTAATAGAGACCCAGAAACACAACAAATCACAGAAAGGTTGGACAAATGGGATTGCATGAAGCTGCAGAGCTTCTGCATGGCAAAGAACATAGCTAGCAAGATCAATAGAAAGCCCATGGATTGGGAGAAGATCTTCACTAGCCATACAGCAGACAAGGGTCTCATATCTAAAATATACTTGGAACTCAAAAAATTAAATCCCACAACAACAAATCCTCAAAGAAACAACTGCCCAATAAATAAGTGGGCTAAAGACTTAAACAGAAACTTCTCTGAAGAAGAAAGAAGGATGGCCAATAGACACATGAAGAAATGCTCAACCTCCCTAGCCATAAAAGAAATGCAAATCAAAACGACATTGAGATACCACCTCACCCCAGTTAGAATGGCAAAAATCAAGAACTCTAATAACAACAGATGCTGGAGGGGATGTGGACAGAAGGGAACCTTACTTCATTGTTGGTGAGAGTGTAAACTTGTTCAACCACTTTGGAAAGCAGTATGGAGGTTCCTCAAAAGACACCACATAGAGCTCCCCTATGACCCAGCAATCCCACTTTTGGGCATTTACCCAAATGTTCACAAACAAGACCACATTAAAGCTACCAGCACAACTTTGTTTATTGCAGCATTATTTACCATAGCTAAGATATGGAACCAACCCAGATGCCCCTCAGTAGATGAATGGATCAAGAAAATGTGGTATATATACACAATGGAATTCTATGCCTCCATCAGAAAGAATGACATTGCCCCATTTGTTAGGAAATGGAAAGGCTCGGAAAAAATTATATTAAGTGAAGTAAGCCAAGCCCAAAGAAACATAGGTTCCATTGTTGCTTTGTATGTCCCTCCCCCACAGTATAATCCATGCTTTCACTATATTTGATGTAGGTATAATTTCTGGAGGAGAAGGGGAAAAACAAGTCGTTTAAGGATACAGGTAGACCCATTGCAACAATGAGAAGTACAAGTTGTCATGTCGAAAACGAACTTTACAATTTTGTTGGGGGTGGGAGGATTGGGTTGGGGGTGTGGGCGGGGAGGCTGGGAAGGGATGTGAAGGGTAAACAAAGGAGGAGGCTGCAATGCTTGATAAGAAATGTACTCATTATCTTGCCCATGTAATTGTAACCCCTCTGTACAGTATGTTCACAAAAAATAAAATTAAATTAAAAAAAACATGTGTCAACCTATTTTATACTCATACTGTAGTATGAATATCATTTGGAAACAGAGAAGTTGAATACATAATTGTATTCTTGACTCTTCTATAGTACATAAAATTTTCCATGTTTGCCACATGCAATGTACAAAAACATGTGACCCATTTCAATTTTAATGCTACTTACCATTTACAACATAGCCAGGTATGTACAGAGACTTGTTCTTTCGTCTTAAACTACGTCTAGCGGTGTGATTTCTTGCCTGGACAAGAACTTTTAAACTGTATCTACAACTTCCATTGTATTCCTTAAAATATCTGGGGTAGATACCATCATTTTTGACAGTATCAGCACCTTTAGGTTCAAATGTAATAGTTATCCAGTAAATACAAATGTCTACTGTTTCTCTCCTGGAACAGTAATGGTATCAGCAGTTTGGAGATAGCACAGCACATATGAACACTGGAATTAGACTCCATTCCAACCTTGGCTTAGCCACATGCTAATCTTTTCATATTGAAAACAGTCTAACTGTGATTTTATGTATTCAACTGATATTAGCTGCTATTATTTTATAAAAGAAACTTATCAAAAAGAAAATATATCTAGTTGGGGAAATTATAGTTGAAACACTAACACTAAGAATACTGGAAGAGGATTGTATTCATCTATTCCATGAGAAAAATAAAATTTTTCTAGAGTTTGAAAGATAAAAGTTTTATTTTACTTTGTCAGAGTCAGCAAAACAGTTATAAATATTTTAACTTTGAAATATGTAGTACAATCATATATATCTTATGACTTCATCATAGGATCCTCTAGGAGATGTTTTAAGTCCAACATAATATGAAGCAGATGTCAGTTACCTGCACCATTGTCCAAGAGTCCAACTGCAATATCTACAATGATTACTGTTATATCGACTTCAATATCGAACGTACATATATCCTCTTCCCAGACTTTGGCATGAAAAATTCCTAGGTTTATGTCTTGTGCTGTATTTTGACTCCTGTAAGCAGCTGCCATTGCTGGAAGTATGGAAGGATTTCTTGCTCCAGTGGTCATTGTGACTGATAGTAACTGAGGTTGGGCTTCATTATTTAAAAGTCTATAAGTCCAAGTACCTGTCTGGAAAAAAAAAGAAAAAACAAAACCTCCTTCAAAGCCTTGTTAATATTACTCTTTCCACCCAGTGGCAGTGGTTCAGACCTGTAATCCTAGCTCCTGCGGAGACTGAGATGTGAGGATTGCAGTTTGAAGCCAGCCAGGGCAGGAAAATCTATAATAAATTTTAATTTCTGATTAAATCAGAAAGAAAGGGAGATTGATACCATGGATCAAGTAGACCAGTGCCAGTCTTCAGCAAAAAGGAGCTCAGGGGCAGCGCCTAAGAATGAAGAACAAAACAAACAAACTCTCTCTTTCCTTGGTATATAAACTGATTTAAAAATACAAAGAGCTTATATATATACATGCACATGTACAAATATATGTATATGCATATATATACAAGTATACATACACATGTATATATATGTGTTGTTGTATGCATATAGTTTGTATGTATATATATGAGTGTGTGTAATTTTGAGGATGGAAATTGTTTTCATCTATACTAGATAACTGTCTTTTTCCAAACTACACTCTCAGCTCTAGTAGCAATTTGAAAGTTGATTTTACAAACTAGTAAATAACATGAATGTGAATTATTACATATTCCATTCATTTTTATGGCAGATGACCTATTTTAATTTTAATATTGACAATACACAAGACAAAATCATATTTAAAAAGTAGTAATTAATAAAAACAAAGTGAAAATGAAAGAATAGAATTACCTCTGCAATGCCCGGTATTCGAAGATGGGAAGTTCGACTATTTTGCTTATGTTCTTTGAAATCTGAGGTATCATATTCTTTTCCTTTGGGATCTTGGAGAATAATTAGTGGTTTTTGCATTGTCCAGGTAACAACAAACAATGTGTCATTTCCAGTGGTGCTGTCCACAGACACTGTGCCGTTGGCCCATGTCTTCCCTGTGACATTCAAGGCTTTGCTTTCCAACTGTTATATCAGTAAAAGGAAACATGTAAAACCAATTTGTTATTTATTTTGACAATACCTCAGCTTGAACTCAGGGACACAAACTTGTTAGGCAGGTGCTCTGCCCCTGAACTACACTTCCAGTATTTGTTTGTTTGTTTTTGTTTGTTGGTATTGGGGGGGCTTGAACTCTGGGCCTGGGTGCAGTCCCTGAGCTCTTCTCAAGGCTGATGCTCTACCACTTTGAGAAACAGTGCCACTTGTGGTTTTCTGGTGGTTAATTGTTGATAAGACTCTCATGGAGCCGGGTGCCTGTGACTCACGCCTATAATCCTAGCTACTCAGGAGGCTGAGATCTGAGGATGGTGGTTCAAAGCCAGCCCGCGCAGGAAAGACCGTCAGACTCTTGTCTCCAATAAACCACTAGAAAACCAGAAGTGGCACGGTAGCTCAAGTGGTAGAGTGCTCGCCTTGAGCTGAAGAAGTGAGGGAGAGCACCCAGGTCCAGAGATCAAGCCCCACAACTGACAAAAAAAAAAAAAAGAGTCTCATGTAATTTTCTGGTCTGGCTTGCTTCAGACTCTGCTCCTCATATCTCAGCCTGCTGAAGATGACAGGCCTAATACATATGTTTAATTGGCTTCAATTCCAAGTTTGGCACTTACTATATGACTGCACAAACTATTTTGTTTCTTTCATTTCTAGGATAAGCGTAAAATTCCTTGCTCTTGACTCTATGCTAAAATTAAAATAGTTTCTATTGTACTGACAAACTCTGGGGCTTAAACGTAGATTATTATTTAAAGTCCCTGAAATAGCTTTCTTTCTATTAGCTTACCTAGTGGAAAAAATATTACGAGTTTGGCCTTTTAATTATTCAATAAAGGAATGTTTACTAATCCTTATACATAACTAAATCATAAAATGAAACAGATTGAATACTAGCAGTTTGGATCAGTTTTACACAAATGATGAATACTGTCCAACGACTTTGGGAAGTTGTAAAGGTCTGAGTATTTATATGTGGAAATAGTTCTCAAAATAAAAATACATGAGTAATAAAAGTTTTCTCTTACCTGAATGTTCTGAATGAGTTTTTCATCTTCTGTTACATAGGGGTTAATTGAAATGACAATGCCTTCATATGCATTGTCAGGTAACTTTACCATTGAGCATTTTACCTCTGCCAAGAGATGCAGAGCTAGGCATAGAATGCCCCTCAGACTGAACATCATTTCTGCCAAGGCTACAATTATTTGGAAATGCAAGGAGAGTATTTATGTATCTGCCTATTAGTTTAGGAACTTGAATCAAGACCAAACTATTTGCATAAATTTGATATGGTAAAATACACTAAAATGTCTAGGTGAACTTCCTTATTCATTCTAAAGATATAGTTATGAAGTAGCAGTAGGGATTATGCTAAACATCCTTAGCATACCCTGTGTGGATAGTCAAGCTGATAGTAGAAAGTGAGTTATCCTTCTTACTATGAAATATGACCTTAGGATCTCCTTACAGAAAAGCTCTTCAGGGAGAGGTAGTGAATTAAGGGCTTGATTTTTATTTATTTTTAATTGTATTTTATTGTGAAGGTGATGTATAGAGGGGTTACATCTGAGGTTCAGTGGGAAAAGTTTTATCTTCTGTGATTAGTACTTGTTTTTTTCAGCTTTCAAATAATATTGAATGCTTAAGTTTATTCATAACTTGGGAACTTAATATGCTTTAGATAAGTTTTCTTTCATTCTTTTAAATTTTTTTGATTAAACACAAATGGTTCTTAGCTTGAACTTGTTGTACAATGGCATTGTGAGCTGGCTCTACAGTTAGAAAAATACAAACCCTACTCTTTCTTGCTTTGGTCACTTAATACTCATGGGATTTTTTTTTTGGTAAGAGTTATGTAGTTCATTTTTTAGGCTTTTTCTTTAGTTGGACTATTAGAATAATTTGTACTTATAGAAGCTCTAAATCTATGGGTCAGATCTACAAGGTTTTCATGAAAGGTCTAAATATTTTACTTTGGTGGTAAGCATTATATTTATACAATCAATACAAGTTTGTTATTCACTTTGATAATTAAAATTTCTGTTTTAATTCTTTTATTTTGTCATCATGTAAATACAAACTCCCAATGTTTTATTGTAAGGCCCGTGTATGCCTAAGACTAGAGGTAGAACTGTCTGGCACACTGAAACCATAGGCTTTTTGGAATGCTCTTTCATTTTTTTCTTGCTGTGCCCTTGCAGCTCCAGCCTAAGAACAGCCTCATCTGTAAAAATGTACTAAGCCATCCACATGAAAAGTAATATATATTTCCTTTGAACTTGTTTGTGCCTAACATCTGCATTGCTCTTGTAATTTACTATTTTATTACTAGCACTTGGGGCATTGAACTCAGAGCCTTGTGCTGCTACGTAAACTACTGCTTGAGTCATATTCCCAGTCCTTTTTGCTTTAGCTAACTTTCAAAGAGGGTCTTACAATGTCACTCCAGCCAGGCTTGGATGCAGTCCTCCTACCCACAGCCCCCTGTGTGGCTATCATTATGGGTGCGAGCCCCCGCATCCAGTCTTGCTTTTGTTATTATTGATATGCATAGTAGCTTGTTTCCTTTCTTGGAGGGAGAATTTTTTTTTCTGAGTTTAATCTTTCTCAATCTTAGATTCTTTAACTATAAAATGAAATAATAACTAGAAGGACTGTTGGTCAAATTAAATACAAGAACATGGGGAAAATACTTGTAAATGCTGGTGCATATTAGACTCACAATGAATGCTTATTGAGTATGGAGAAAACTCAAACTGTGTAATTCCTTAGAAAGTCTAACTCATAGTTCAACCAGGAAACCTGTATTTGAAAGGGGTAAGATGGGCTCAATGGAAGGGTGGGTAGATGAATGAAGAGAGGATGGGGGAGAATACAGTCACAAGGGTCAAAACAAATTCTCCAAACTTGTGCAAAGTGAGGGAAGGTGGCCTGTTGAGAGGGAAGGGTGAGAACATTGAAAGGAGGCTGACACTGATCAATATGCATTGTGTCCATAAACTGCTTTGCTGAATGGAAACTCCTTTGTACAATTATTTAAAGATGATAAAAATGCATATAAAAATAGATGTTCAGTGCTTTTCCTTGTTTCTTTTTTTTTTTTATCTACATTTTCCCTGTTCTCTCTTTTTTAAAACATAGGTACATTGGATATTAGTACTGTATTTATCCACCCTCCCTTTTTTACATTTTTAATTACATATTTTTATTGTAAAGACACTGTACAGAAGGGTTACAGTTACATGAGTAAGGTAATGAGTACATTTCCTATCGAGCATTTTTACCTCCTTTGTTTTTCCCCTACCATTTCTTCCCTCCCCACTTCCCCAACTCCTCTCTGCTCCCCCTCCCCCAAGTTGTAAAGTTCGTTTTCACCATAGTATCATGTACATCTCATTGTTACAATGGGTCAACCTGTATCCTTATTTCAGCATTTTGTTATTTCCCTTTCCCTCTCGAAATTAGAAAAATGTACAAACAAGATGCAGGGCACCAGAATCAAATACAGTGAATACAGAGGTTAAACCATGGGGGAAGAACATACAAAAGAAACAAAAAAAATCACACTGTACAGTATAAATACATTAAAAACAACAGCAAGAAAGATAAAACTTCTGTGTCCCTAACTTGGGGTTCATTTCCCTTAGCATCATCTTATTTTTTTTTTTTTAATTTTTTCAATTCATTTCTTTTTTTTTTAATTTTATTTTATTTTATTTGAGAACATACTGTACAGAGGGGTTACAATTACATGGGCAGGATAATGCATACATTTCTTACCAAGCATTGCAGCCTCCTCCTTTGTTTACCCTTCACCTCCCTTCCCAGCCTCCCCCCTCCCTCCCACCCAATCATACCCTCCCTTGCCCCCCCACCGACATTGTAAAGCTGGTTTTGACATGACTTTTTGTACTTCTCATTGTTGCAACAGGTCCACCTGAATCCTTAAACGACTTGTTTGTCCCCATCTCCTCCACATGTTATACTGACATCAAATATAGTGAAAGCGGGGGTTACACTGTGGGGGAGGGACATACAAAGCAACAAAGAAATAATCTTATAAATGCGTTAGAAACACATGCATGAAAGAAACAAAAACATTAAAATACATATTTGAGGTTTCGTTTTCCTAACATCACATTATCTGACTTTTTCCGCTTGACTCATACCTATACTAGATATTGCAAATAAGGGAAACCATGGGACCTATGTTTCTTTGGGCCTGGCTTACTTCACTTAATATAATTTTTTCCAAGCCTTTCCATTTCCTAACAAATGGGGAAATGTCATTCTTTCTGATGGAGGCATAGAATTCCATTGTGTATATATACCACATCTTCTTGATCCATTCATCTACTGAGGGGCATCTGGGTTGGTTCCATGTCTTAGCTATGGTAAATAATGCTGCAATAAACATAGTTGTGCTGGTAGCTTTAGTGTGGCCTTGTTTGTGATCATTTGGGTAAATGCCCAAAAGTGGGATTGCTGGGTCGTTGGGGAGCTCTATGTGGAGTCTTTTGAGGAACCTCCATACTGCTTTCCAAAGTGGTTGAACAAGTTTACATTCCCACCAACAATGAAGTAAGGTTCCTTTCTGTCCACATCCCCTCCAGCATCTGTTGTTGTTAGAGTTCTTGATTTTTGCTGTTCTAACTGGAGTGAAGTGATATCTCAATGTTGTTTTGATTTGCATTTCTTTTATGGCTAGGGATGTTGAACATTTCTTCATGTGTCTATTGGCCATCCTTCTTTCTTCTTCAGAGAAGCTTCTCTTTAAGTCTTTCGCCCACTTACTTATTGGGCAGTTGTTTCTTTGAGGATTTGTTGTTGGGTGGTTTAATTTTTTGAGTTCCAAGTATATTTTAGATATGAGACCCTTGTCCGTTGTATGGCTAGTAAAGATCTTCTCCCAGTCCGTGGGCTTTCTATTGATCTTGCTAGCTATGTCATTTGCCCTGCAGAAGCTCTGCAACCTTATACAATCCCATTTGTCCAGCCTTTCTTTGATTTGTTGTGTTTCCGGGTCTCTATTCAGAAAATTTCGGCCTGAGCCAAGGAGACCCAGGGTTTCTCCTATTCCATCCTGTAATGTTTTCAGAGTGTCTGCTTTGAGTTCAAGGTCTTTGATCCATTTGGAGTTGATTCTGGTGCAGGGTGATATATAAGGATCTAGCTTTAGTTTTCTACATGTAGTTAACCAGTTTTGCCAGCACCATTTACTGAAGAGGCTGTCTGTCTTCCATTCTATTGTTTTAGCTCCCTTATCGAAGATTAGATGGCTATAGGTCTGTAGGTTCATTTCTGGGTTTTCAATTCTATTCCATTGGTCCTGAGGTCTGTTCTTATGCCAATACCAAGCTGTTTTGATTACTATGGCTTTATAGTAGAGTTTGAAATTTGGTATTGATATTCCTCCAGCAGTGTTCTTTCCGTTGAGGAGCGTTTTTGCTATTCGGGGTCTTTTATTGTTCCATATGAATTTTTGGATTGCCTCTTCTATTTCCTTGAAGAATGAGGGTGGAATTTTGATAGGTATTGCGTTGAATTTGTAGATAGCCTTGGGAAGTATTGCCATTTTCACGATGTTAATCTTTCCAATCCAGGAGCATGGGAGGTTTTGCCATTTTTTAAGTTCTGTGTTGATTTCCTTTTTCAAGATTTTAAAGTTTTCATCATAGAGGTCCTTCACTTCTTTAGTTAAGTTAATTCCTAGGTATTTTATTTTTTGTGGGGCTATTACAAATGGAGTTGCTTTCCTAATTTCAGCCACACTTTTCTCATTGTTGGCATACAGAAAAGCCATTGATTTTTGGGGGTTAATTTTATAACCTGCTACTTTGCCAAAGTTTTGAATCAGCTTGAGTAATTTGGGAGTGGAGTCTATGGGATTCTTTAAATACAAGATCATGTCATCTGCAAAGAGGGAGAGTTTTATTTCTTCTTTCCCTACTTGGATCCCCTTTATGTCTGCATCTTGTCTTATTGCTGTAGCTAGGCATTCTAATACTAGATTGAAGAGAAGTGGAGAGAGTGGGCATCCTTGTCTTGTTCCTGAGTTAAGAGGAAATGGCTTTAGTTTTTCACCATTGAGTATAATGCTGGCTGTAGGTTTGTCATA